CAAGTCCTACCTTCTAATACCATCTCAACTTGCAGAATTACAAATTCACTACATGGGGTGGTGGAGGAGCAAGCATTTGGATAATGGCAGAAGATAGAACTCATGAAAAGTGTTCTTAGCACAATAGAAGAAAAAAGTTGGTTTAAACTCGGAACTTTTTTTTTTTTAATTCTTAAGAGCCAGAATCATTTACTGCTAAGCCAGGGAGAGTTAAAGTGATTAATTAAAGTCTAACCTGTTCTAGGATGATATGTACCCTTAAAATTTTTCACTTATGAAACTGCTCTTTTATTTTTAGATGTTAATAAAATTTCCAATGGCAATGTCATATTAATAAACATGTATTACCTTTCCAAGATAAAAAAACAATGTTTTAAATTAATACCATATGAAGAACAGGAGATGTAATTCAGTGACAGAGCACTTGCCTAGCACGGTTGAGGCCCTGAATTTGATCTGTAGCATTGCAAAAAAAGTATTTCAGATTTCATATAATTAATATATTTTAATAATTATAATTAAAAAGTCTTCATACTAAGAACCAAGTATTTTACCATTATTTTTAATAAATGAAAGATTTCACATACATGATAACATTTGTTTCAAAGATTATTGTGAGGGTTAAATGAGCCAATACACATCAGTACAGAACTCAAATATTATTTATTAGGTTGCAGCATTGTAAGTTTTGCAGTAGTAATAAAAATGTTACTTGACTTATTTCAGCAATATTGATTTAGTTAAAATATTTCAGTACCTAGACTGCTTCCCATAGTTTCCACTGAATATCACCAATTGGACAGGTAAAATGGTAGATTTCTTAATCTGATATTAATTAACTGTGAAAGATTTTCAAGAAACAGCTTTATGAACAAAGTGTTGATGTAATCCTTAGAATTGAGCCTGAATTTTGTGAATTCAGACCTCCAAATCTGTGAGTTTCATATCTGAGTATTCAACTAAACTTAGGTTGAAAATATTTGAAAAAAAGTACATCTGTACTGAACATATTCACACTTCTTCTTGTCATTATTTTTGAACAATACAATATAACAAATATTTGTGAGGCATTTACGTTTTGGTAGATACTATAAGTAATCTAGGGAGGAATTCAAATATGTGAAAGGGTGTGGTTTGGTTACATGCAAATATTATTTTACACAAGGGCATATCCACAGGGGTCCTGGAAAAATTTACCTTAGATACTGAGGTCTCAATGCCTTGCTTGGTCACTCTCACAGCTGTTACTTCTATTACAATCTTAGGAAATGTACTACTTTATTGATATATGTGTATCCGTATACCAGATCATGGACACTCCTCTGAAGTTGATTCTGTGTGTTGGTGAGAGATAGGAGCTTGGAATGTGGAGATGTGAAGTGAGATTTCACAAAATTTGACCATGAAAAAGAAATATTGACATTATTGAAATATTGAAAATATTAAAATATTGAAATATTACTCTGAAGAAACCACCAGTTTCAAATGAAAATATTTTATTTCATAGCCATGAACAGTTTTGAAGATGTCTTAGTAATATTTGGAAAATTTGAAATAGTCATTTAATGTCCTTCCTACCTGTTTTTGCCTATTTATAGGGCATTATTAGATTTTTCATGGCTTACCCTTGGCCTTTCTGTAGAAAATAGTTTTTTTCTTTCCCCTCTTCAGATAGCATTACCTACATTTAAAACTTTGGTGCAAATTAGTCAGTGTTTAGTACAATTTTTCACTGGAAGTCAATGAACTTAATTAAAAACTTCCATCAGAGAGGTTGCGAGTCATGCAGAACACACCAAATCAGCCTGCGCCCCAGCAGCAATCTACTGGACACCACCCCAGCTCCTCTGTACAGCTACCTGGTTCCACACTACAAAGATGCAGAGGACACTGGACCACCAGACTGGGTCCTGCCGCTCCTGGCCCAGAGGTAGGGGTTTCTGAGCCACTGTTCCACTGCTCCTGGTTCAGAGGAAGGGGCTTCCCAGCCACCATCCCTCCCGCTACTCCCAGCCCAGAGGAAAGGGCATTTGGGCCACCTTCTGTCCCGCTGCTCCCGGCACAGTGGAAGGGGCTCCCAGGCCAAATCCCTCCCACAGCTCCCGGCCCAGAGGTAGGAGCTTCTAAGCCACTGTCCCAACCGAAAAGGAGAACTATAGGCCAATCTCACTAATGAACATAGATGCAAAAATCCTTAATAAGATAATGGCAAACAGAATGCAGAAGATCATCAAGAA